ATTATTATTATTATTATTATTATTATTATTATGTAGGCCTGTCTTGAAATAATAAGCTCCCATTGTTGACGTGGGTGTAATGAAAAGGCGACGCTGGGCTGATGAGTTGGTGTTTTTGTTTTTTGTTGTTGTTGTTGGGTTTTTTCTGTTTTGTTTGGGTTTTTTTGGGTGGTTTTTTTTTGTGAAGATCCTGCTCTGCCCCCGCCGAGCAAACGTCAATTCGTCTAATGTAAAGTGGATTCTTGAAAACGGGGCATGAACAGAAGGGTTGTGACTTGGACAATCGTGGGCGAGGGCAATAACGGACGGAAACGAAGCAGCCTACATATGATATGTGTATTAAAATGAGGTGAAGACACCGTTTCCGTGTTCATGTAGATCTTTTGTCTTTTTTTTTTTAAGTTTAAGCTTAAGTTACGGCACTTGCAACACAATAAGGTCATATTAGTACGTGCCGAAGGTTAGAGGTCTTACAAGAGAGTAACAAACACAAAAAAGAAGGAGGAGAGATCGGGATGATAGATGTTTGATAGGAGAGAAGGAGCAGACCACACCAGAGCACCCGCCCACCACCCACTGTATGTATGTCTACAGTACAATATGACGTATGTGCACAGAATTCTACACTTACTGTGTATGGTATGTGTTAAAATTGTACTCGGTGTCTTCCCACGACAATAATCGGCGATGTTCAAGATGTATCTAGACTAATGCTTGAAAAACGGAATGTTCAAAAGAGAAGCTGAAAAAAGCGCGCGCCCTCATGTACGCGCACACACACACTCATACTCACACACACACACACTCAGTCATACATACATACATGATACATACACACATACACACACACACACACACTCACACACACACACACAACGTTTATGCATTGTACACGCGCGAGCTCGAAATACGGCATCATCATCATCATCAACCAACAAAAGCTCTCCATCTATCGTGTTCTATTCTGGACTATAACTAATTATACCCTCCATCTCTGTTCAGCTATTTCCAACGATCTGTTTACAGACCGAATGCAAGCCCCAACTTTATTAAGGTCTTCCTCTCTTTCTCTTTACTTTCAATGTCATACTATTACGACGCCGTGGAATCATGCGCTTGTCAATTTTTGCGCATTTGAAGTTATTGGTGTTACATTTGTGTCTTATTAAAGTTTGTTCACTTGACTATGTTTCTATGAAAATAATACACATCTATCTTGAATAGAAGTTGAGGCATTTTGCGATTTAAAGAGATCGGGGACGCCTGGTTTTAGAAGTAAAATTAGCGAGAAAATTACGACCACCAAAGTTTTTTTTAATGTCCAAAGCTTGAGAATCCTTGGAAACTGAAAATTTACATCGTTAATCCGAGGCTACCAAACATTCCGGTATCCTCGGTTTAACCCTATCTGAACGCCCTGGTGTCATTTTGTACCCCCGGGGTTGTGATGTATTCTTCACATTTTAGAATACTTCTAGTAAGAAGATCTATTTGAAACTTTCAGTATTTCTCCAAAAATCATTTTGACAGACTACTATGCAAAGCTCACGGATCGGATTAACGGGTAAATTTCCTCTTTGGAAAGTGGTGGCACAGAGTTCCTCACGTCGTATGGATACGATAGTAAAACACGACGTACGGATAGGGTTAATCCAAGTTTCTCTGTAAAATCTGCAAAAAAAAATAATTTTTAATCAATCTTTTAAATGGACCTAAAAGGTGTTGAGCCAAAAAAACCCAACAAAACCCCAAAATTAGAATGAAGAAAATAAAAGGTCAAACTGGCCGGAAAATGGCAAAATCTTCGATTTCATTATTTTGTCGAACGCCTTGATGAAAGTTGATGCCTCACTTAAGATTTTCTACTTGTA